GCGGCAAGGCCCCCATGGAGCGCGGGGGCAGCAGTGGCTCGGGCGGTGGGCATCCCGACCGCGGACGTGGGCGTGGCCGTGGCCGTGGCCGCGGCCGTGGTCACCCTGGCGGGCGTGGGCACGCCACACCTCCAGCCGGCGCCGGCCAAACTCCTTGGCTGGGGTACTTCGCCCCGTGGGGGGCACCCTTCCCGCCGCCGGCTCGCGTGCCGTGGGTTCCTCCCAACGCCGCGGGCGTACTCGGCCCTCGTCCCACCGCTCCGCACCAGGCGTACCCCCTGATGTACGCTGGGCCGTCCGCGCCTCCGTCGCATCCGCCGTTGTGGGATCCAGCCGCGCTCTACTCCGCCCTCAACCAGATGACCCTCCAGCAGCCCGGCGCCACTGACTGGTACCTCGACACCGGGGCCCCCGCACATGTCACCGGTAACGCAGGTATCCTCGCCTCGCTTCGTCCTGTTTCAAAGCAGCATCCCCCTATTATCGTTGGCAATGGATCACGTCTCCCCGTTGTCGCTACTGGTTCCACCTCCCTTCCTTCTTCTTCTCGTTCTCTCCAACTTAACAATGTTTTATTCTCACCAGATGTAGTTCCCAATCTTATTTCCGTTAAACAACTAGCTATTGATAATTCTGTATCTGTTGAGTTTGACCCCATCGGCTTCTCTGTGAAGGACCTAGCAACGCGGACCCCCCTAATGAGGCGCAATAGCTCTGGCCCGCTCTATCGGTGCGGCGGTGCAAGTCCTTCGGCGTTCTTCCTCGGCACCGGCGAGATGTGGCATCGCCGTTTGGGGCACCCTGGGCGTGCCTCCCTTTCCCATTTAGCACAACACTTTCTTCCCGATTGTAATAAACTTCCCTCCCCCTCTCATTCATGTGAGGCTTGCCAATTAGGGAAGCAGCCACGGCTGCCTTTTTCACATTCTAGCACTGTTACAACTTTCCCGTTTCAAATAATTCACTGTGACCTTTGGACCTCACCGGTGGCTAGTTGTTCCGGCTACAAATATTATTTGATCATAATGGATGATTTTTCTCATTATACGTGGACCTTCCCCCTCCGTGCAAAATCCGATGCTCCCGGTGTTCTTCACCGTTTCTTCCAGTTTGTGCTCACACAATTTTGTGTCTTTATCAAATGCATGCAGTGCGACAACGGCGGAGAATTCCTCAACTCATCTCTTCGTTCCTCTCTTAGCGCTCACGGCACCTCGTTACGCTTGTCGTGCCCGCACACTTCACCACAAAACGGCAAGGCTGAGCGTGCCATTTGCTCCATCAACGACATTATCCGCACTCTCCTTGTCCAAGCCCACATGCCACCAAAATTTTGGGTCGAAGCGCTCCACACCTCCACCTATCTTCTGAACGTTCGACCCTCGCGTGCCATCCAACACAACACGCCACACTTTATGCTCTACGGCACGCATCCGTCCTATGACCACCTACGCACCTTTGGGTGTTTGTGCTACCCCAACCTCTCCACTACACCACACAAACTCTCCCCCAGATCCACCCCATGCGTCCTTCTCGGTCTCCCGCTCGAACACAAGGGATATCGGTGCCTCGATCTCCTTACGCGCAAAGTCATCACGTCCAGGCACGTCGTCTTTGACGAACTCACGTTTCCCTTTGCTCAGAGTCGCACGCATGCAGCCACCAACCCCGCCGCAGAAAATCCCGCACCATCCGCCTCACCTAGCCTCGATCTCGGGATCGCTCCACCTACCTCGTACCCGTTAGCCCGATCCCCCTCGGGATCCCCCACACCAGCCGCCCGCACCGATGCAACCAACCCACGCGCTCCACCTACCCCGCCCCTTGCCACGACGCACCCCTCCACTAGTAGCTCGGCCCGCTCCCCACACATCGCGCCTGCCGCCTCTCCTGTTCGCTCCTCTCCACCGGATCCCGTGCCCACCCCATGCAACCAATCGGAGCACGTCTCGCCATGCACGCGCGGCTCGCCCGGTCGCACGGGGCCGCCCCCGCTTTCCCTACTGCCTACGTCCCCACCTCCTCGCTCGCTCCCACCACGCGCGGTCCCAGTCGCACCACCCAAAAACCAGCACTCCATGCGCACCCGCGCCAAAGCCGGGTTTCTCCAACCTAAAAGTATGTTCACTCTTTCTGCAACATCCGAACACATCTCACCTCTTCCTTCCTCGTACAAACAAGCTCTCAAAGATCCTAATTGGTACAACGCTATGCTAGAGGAATATACTGCTTTGTTACAGAACGAAACTTGGTCGTTGGTGTCTCCCCCTGCAGGTGTCAACTTGGTGACGGGGAAGTGGATCTTCCGGCACAAACTGAACCCCGACGGCTCTCTTGCGCGGTACAAGGCCCGTTGGGTCCTGCGCGGCTTCACACAACAACACGGCATCGACTTTGAGGAGACCTTCAGCCCCGTCGTCAAGCCGGCGACGATCCGCGTCGTCCTCAGCCTCGCCATCTCGTCCGACTGGCCAATACACTAGTTGGAGGTGAAGAATGTGTTCCTCCATGGCCACCTCGACACCGTCGTCTACAGTCAGCAGCCGTCCGGCTTCATCGACGCTTCCCATCCCTCGCATGTGTGCAAATTGCATCGCTCGCTCTATGGGCTTAAACACGCTCCGCGGGCGTGGTTCCAGCGCTTCACCACATACCTTACTCGCCTCGGGTTCGCCGCTTGTAAGAGCGACACCTCGCTGTTCATCCTGCATCGTGACGGCGCCACCGCATACCTCCTCTTGTACGTCGACGATATCATACTTACCGCCAGCTCCACCTCCCTGCTTCGCCGCATCATCTCGCAGCTCCAGCATGAGTTTTCCATGACCGACCTTGGTGAGCTCCATCACTTTCTAGGGATCAACGTTCAGCGTACCCCGCATGGCCTCTTTCTTTCACAACAGCAGTATGCTCTGGAGATCCTTGAGCGCGCCCACATGAGCTCCTGCAAGCCTGTCGCCACTCCCATAGACACCCGCGCCAAACTCTCTGCCACGGACGGGGCGCCTGTGTCCGATCCATCCCTCTACCGCAATCTCGCCAGCGCTCTCCAATACCTCACCCTCACTCGCCGGACATTGCCTACGCCGTCCAGCAGGTCTGTTTGTTCATGCATGACCCGCGGGAGCCGCACTACACCGTCCTCAAGCGGATCCTCCGCTATGTTCGGGGTACACCGCAGCTCGGCCTTCACCTACGGCGCTCCTCCGACCACCGGCTGATCGCGTACTCCGACGCTGATTGGGCCGGTTGCCCTGACACGCGCAAGTCCACGTCGGGCTACTGCATCTACATCGGCGACAACCTTGTGACATGGTCGTCGAAGCGGCAGCAGACCGTCTCGCGCTCGAGCGCAGAGGCGGAATACAGGGCCGTGGCCAACGCCGTGGCCGAGGCGTGTTGGCTGCGGCAACTTCTTCATGAGCTCCGGCGCCCGCCGGACAGGGCGACGATCGTCTACTGCGATAACGTGAGCGCGATGTACCTCTCCACCAACCCTGTCCAACATCAGCGGACCAAGCACATCGAGATCGACCTACACTTCGTCCGCGAGCGCGTTTCCCTTGGTGACGTGCGCGTGCTCCACGTTTCCTTCGGCGTCGCAGTTCGCGGACATCTTCACGAAGGGGCTCCCGTCAACAGTCTTCCTCGACTTCCGGTCCAGCCTCAACGTGATCGACGCCCCCGTTGTGGCTGCGGGGGGCTGTTGGAAGACCGTTCGTTCTCATGTAACTAATGGACCGAGTCCTACGTAGTTAGGCGCTCTATCCACTCCTCTCACGACTCGCACGTTGTGCATGCCCTCGTATAGCTCGGGCAGTTACTCTCTGTACATGGTATATAACCCCTTCGTGGGCAATGGATTGAATCACGCATTGCTTTCCATAATTCTTGACTGGTGATTCCACCTAGCGAGGAAAGAGAGAGACGTGGGAGGTGACATGTCGGCCAGCTCGACGAGACTGAACGACTTGTGCCCTGACCGGACCCAGTCGCACTATTCCTGTGGAAGGAATCTTTCTACTAAAGCTAGCAGGCTGTGGCATGCAACCGTATACAGTGTCTACTGTTGTTTGCGTGATTGACCAAGAGAGACACCCGCGCATGGCTGCATGGCTCACTTTTTTCTATCGGATATGGAAAAAGCTGAACAACAACTGTACACAACGGCCCGCTTAACAGTGCCCTACTGCCATACAGTACCTGCTAGCGGCTATGCCTACTACAACCCAGCCTGACCTATTTGTGTCAAATTGCCTTACCCTGCCGCCGCAAGCGGCCTGCTGCTGGGTAGGGGCTGCCGTCGCACCTTTTCGCAAAGTAAGAGAAAGAATAAAATGGCATCGTGGAGCTGATCATTGCACCATCTCCTTTCTTTAAATCGTTGCTTCTTACCCTCTCTTGATGCAGCCAGATCGTCCCTCGCTGCAACAAAACATTGCCCCGACGCGGCGCCTACCTAGGGGCCGGAATCCCCTTCATTGCTGGTAATTAAATCACACTCAAAGTTGTAGTGATTGTTTTAATGTTATTGCTTACCCTGGTTGCTGGTTTTTTCTAATGCTTGATGAGATCCTGCTTCAACTTTTCCCCTTCTTGTTCAGTTTTCATAAACAGGCTCCCTCTGTTCTGCTTCGATTCTTTCCAAACAAATTAAGGAGCCGACATATATAATACTCGATTGATTATCAAATCTCTGCCATTTACACAGAGAGAGCTCGATTAGCATTTCAGGTAAATTACTGACTCGTCTTTTTTGTTCGAATTAGTAGATTTTCAAGCAGTTAATGTTTGATTAGCTCATCTGAATTCGTTGCGCTAGTCTCTACCTTGTTAGTCTCTCTCTCTCTCTCTCTCTCTCTCTCTCTCTCACACACACACACACACACACACACACACACACACTTATCCAAGCTATCTAGCAACTCTTGATTGAATCTGACATCTTAAATTGTGCTAGCTACTAATGTTCAGATTTCATATTCCAGCTAGCTAGATCGATGGGGGTGGGATACCTCACAGTTCAGGAATGCAACTCTGATGAATCGGAGATCTTCGCTAAGCACTTCACTGGGTCGATGTTCCGAGTGAATGCCCTCCTTGTAGTGAACGCCATCCTGATGGGAGTCATGGTTGTCATAGGCGCATACGGTCGCTATCGCAGCCATCCATTGACCCGCTACATTTTCTTGGGTGCCACTGCATTGTTCATTCCCATAATCTCCTATGTCCTATCTGACATTGGTAATCAGAATGGCCTTATCCTTTTTGCCGATGGAGAAAAGATAATAGGCCGCCTGTGCAATTCAAGTTTCCACATGAATCTAGTCTTAATCTGGACTGGTCTTGTTCAAATGGTTGGTATCAGCACCACTTTGGTAGTGGTCAGTGATCCTAGAGAAGGGCGAAACATTGGCCCATCTGGGGTACTACTTGTGCAGGCAATGTGGACTTCCTATCTTATGTTCTATAACATAGGGTTGAAGTATCATGTACCATACGAGGACCTCTATATTGCTTCTGATATCATCAACATCAACATTGAGTGGTCTCTGGTATACGTATTTTCTCTAGCAAGTTTGGTGATTATCCCACCATTTGCTCTCACCTTTGCAAAGCTATTTTTCAAGTGTTTTGCATGGTACAAGGCCAGAAAATCACTAGCAATTGGATGCAATCCTCGTCTTATTGTTGGATACATGGAGCAGCTACAAGATGATCCTGACATCATTACAAATGATTATCGGGATATACCTCCTCCGCTAATAGTAATGGGCGAAGGCACGATATCTGTGGACAAGCAGCCCCATGGTTATAGCTTCGCACTGATGCCCAATAGAGGCGGCTTAGTGACCCTTGATAAAGTTTGGCAGCTGGATGACATGCATGATCTCAAGTTGACATCACATCTCAAAGATGTATGCCTCTCCTTCGCATTGTCCAAGCTTTTAAGGTGTCGGTTCGCCAGGTACACAAATGCTGAGATTGGCTTCACCAAAGCTTCTAGCTTTTTACGGCATTTGTTACTGGATGATAGGGACGATGGGAGGGTACTTCGAGTGACTGAATATGAGCTTTCTTTTCTTCATGACTTTTACTATTCATCCCTCGCAATCTCATATTCAAAGAGCTGGATGCTGATAGTAAGCATATTAATTTCACTCTCAGCCATCGGTTACTGCTTAGTTTTAAGCATTCTCATAGTGTATATTCAAATTCGTCTAATATATATGGAAGGTGGCAAGTTACCGTTGATATATTGCACCTATCAGTGCCGTCAAGACAAGGGAGAAAAGAAAAGCAATATGTATTACCCTGAGCGCTTTGGCAATGCAATATTTGTCATTGTACCAGTGGTTGTACTTATCGCACTGGTTGTGCTTGCTGAGACAAGAGAGATTGCTTCTTACGTTTGTTCTAACTGGACAAAAGTGGTCCTAATCTGCCGCCATATAAACCATGCTTCTTGGCAGCCATCTGCTATCATGCAGAAATGTATTAGGTGTGTACTACAGCGTAGATGCAAGATATTAAATCATTTGGAGGACAAGATGAACCAATGTTCAATACTGGTGCTACACCCAAGGAATACTCCAATGGGACTGCTTTGTCGTCTTAAACCTGGTCAGAAGGTCAAGGTGCCAAGAGCGGTGAAGGCTTCTATCATGAATGCACTGAGAAGCTACGAGAGAAGCCGAGACAATAACCACATGCCATCACTGTGCACAAGGCCGCAGTTGAAGACCAGTGACAACCTCCTTTGGGTGGTTGATGGCACAAAAGGCATAGCCAATACCATTCTGGTGTGCCACATCGCCACAAACATTCTTGAACTCAGGTCAGCTGGCTCATGTCAACCTCCCTCTGACCATAAGACCGCTGCCATTCACCTGTCCCGATACTGCGCCTACTTGGTAGCCAACTCTCCTGAGCTGCTTCCAGAGGATGACGAGTGGTGCAAGAGCTTGTACAAGACAGTCAAGAAGAAGGCCGAGCACATCCTTGCCGGAGTGTCAACAGCTGAAGTGGAGTATCAGCAGTTGGTGAGGCTGATGAGCGCTTCACAGAATCATGAGGTGCTCAAGGATGGTGCCAAGCTCGGACAACAGTTGGCGGAGCTAAACCAAGGAGAGACCAGCACGGCATGGGAGCTCCTCGCCGGCTTTTGGTCGGAGATGATGCTGTACATTGCTCCATCAGACAACATTGACGGTCACTCGGAGGCCATCGCCCGCGGTGGCGAGCTCATAACGCTCATATGGGCATTGCTCGCACACCTGGGGATTTCCGGTAGAGCCAATGACCCGGACAGTACCACCGGTGAAGGTGTGTAGGCGTGTGTTAAGTTCTTTGTGATCACTTCGTGTATTTTCCCACATTCCTGATTTTGATTTATGATGTATTGTGTTTGAGGTCATGCTGCCCGTTTGCATGTCCACAGCCAAGTGTGTCCAGAATTTGCGAAAAAGGTCTCCTCCCCCGCTTTAGATTTTTTTTAGGGAACCCCGCTTTAGATTATAAAGCAACAACCAACCGATACAACCAGCTTGTTGGGGCCGCAGCACAAACAAGCTCAAAAGAAAGGGTGCTGATAACGCCGACACGTCTGATGGGAGCAACATCCGCCCACACATCCTATAACACACAGATTGCGTCACGTCGCCGCATGTATACATGTGAGAATCTTTTGGATTTCCAGTTTTAAATCTTAAATGGAAAATCCGATTGAAGATCCATTTTCGCCATTAAGTCCATCGCGACGAGATCTTCGAACTAGATCTCATATCAATATATTTCAATTACTTTTGGGGGGTTAGAAGTTGCCATGTCTATTACATATGAATTGCCATGGTGTTTACACTGAAGTTGCCATGATATGTTTCGGCTATTTTTCTTCTACATTTAAAGGTAAATTTTGACATATTATAAAACAGGAAATTAAGAAACTAGACTTACCATGAATCATAAACTAAAATTGCCATGATACATGCACTTAAAATTGCCATGGTTCATACAAAAAATAATTTCCATTGTCAAAGTACTGTAATTGCCATGGTCAAAATACTAAAATTGTCATGATCTATAAAATAAAATTGCCACATGGCAACTCTAGTGTGAACACTATGGCAACTACAGTGTAAACGTCATGGCAACTTTTGACCAAAAAATCGTCGAAACATATCAACATGGAATCTAGTTTTGAAGATCTCGTCAAGACGGATTTAATGATGAAAACGAATTTTTAATTAGGAGATTAAAAAAATTAAGCCGAAAACCAAAATGATTTCCGCTAATGTCATATGTTTTGACGTGGCAAAATGAATGGTTGGGCGATGTTGCTTCGTGCCACATGTGTGGGCGTTATCGTTTGGGAAAGAAAAAGGAGAGAAAGGAAAAAAAGAAACAAATGCCGACGCCGGCAGCTCAACTAAGCAAAGATGGCCGACACCCGTTGCACCCTCCGGAGAAGTACCTCCGCCCGCCAAGCACTCTGGAGCCTCGCGTACCAAGCACCATCTTCACGAAGAAATGCGACAACGACGCCTCTGTTGGCCGGACAAGTCCTAGGGTTTCCTTGTGACGCCCCCGATTCAATCGTACACTAATCATGCACTCAAACATGTACGATCAAGATCAGGGACTCAGGGGAAGATATCACAACACAACTCTAAAAAACATAAATAAGTCATACAAGCATCATAATACAAGCCAGTGGCCTCGAGGGCTCGAATACAAGTGCTCAATCATAGACGAGTCAGCGGAAGCAACAATATCTGAGTACAGACATGAGTTAAACAAGTTTGCCTTAAAAAGGCTAGCACAAACTGGGATACAGATCGAAAGAGGCGCAAGCCTCCTGTCTGGGATCCTCCTAAACTACTCCTGGTCGTCGTCAGCGGCCTACACGTAGTAGTAGTAGGCACCTCCGGTGTAGTAGGAGTCATCGTCGACGGTGGCGTCTGGCTCCTGGGCTCCAGCATCTGGTTGCGACAATCAGGTAGAATGAAAAGGGGAAAAAGAGGGAGAAAAGCAACCGTGAGTACTCACCCAAAGTACTCGCAAGCAAGGATCTACACTACATATGCATGGGTATCTGTGTAAAGGGGCAATATCGGTGGACTGAACGGGATAGCTAGTCCTATCGAAGACTACGCTTCTGGCAGCCTCCATCTTGCCGCATGTAGAAGAGAGTAGATGGTAAGTTCACCAAGTATCATCGCATAGCATAATCCTACCCGGCGATCCTCCCCTCATCGCCCTGTGTGAGAGCGATCACCGGGTTATATCTGGCACTTGGAAGGGTGTGTTTATTAAGTATCCGGTTCTAGTTGTCATAAGGTCAAGGTACAACTCCGGGTCGTCCTATTACCGAGGATCACGGCTATTCGAATAGATAAACTTCCCTGCAGGGGTGCACCACATTACCCAACACGCTCGATCCCCTTTGACCGGACACACTTTCCTGGGTCATGCCCGGCCTCGGAAGATCAACACGTCGCAGCCCCACCTAGGCAGAACAGAGAGGTCGGCACGCCGGTCTAAATCCTATGCGTGCATGGGTCTGGGCCCATCGCCCATTTCACACCTGCACATTGTGAACGCGGCCGATGAGCAGACCTAGCAACCTCCATTACAAAGGAAGTTGCATTACGCGGTCCAGCCCGGCGCGCGCCGCTCAGTCGCTGACGTCAAGAAGGCTTCGGCTGATACCATGACGTCGAGTGCCTATAACTATTCCCGTGTAGTTGGTTAGTGCGTATAGGCCAGTGGCCAGACTCAGATCAAATACCAATTGTTAAGCGTGTTAATTAATGTAACCGTGGACGCCGACCAGGGCCAGGCCCACCTCTCACCTAGGTGGTCTCAACCTGCCCTGTCGCTCCGTCACAAAGTAACAGTCGGGGCCGTCAGGAACCCAGGCCCACCACTACCGGGATGGAGCCACTTGTCCTTTCAGCCCCCACATCGGAATCACATGCGGGTACTCAATGAGCCGAGCTGACTTTAGTCACCACCTGTATAGTATGTATGTATATATGTATATACCCGTGTTCACCTCCCGAGTGATCACGGCCCGATAGTATAGCATGGCAGACGGACAAGAATGTAGGGCCACTGATGGATACTAGCATCCTATACTAAGCATTTAGGATTGCTGGTAAGGGCAACAACTGTAGCAACAATGACAGGCTATGCAGCAGAATAGGATTAACCGAAATCAGTAACATGCTACACTACTCTAATGCAAGCAGTAGAGAGAAGAAATAGGTGATATCTGCTGATCAAGGGGGGGCTTGCCTGGTTGCTCTGGCAAGAAGGAGGGGTCGTCAACACCGGAGTCGTACTCGGTACCAGCGGTGTCGGTCTCGGTGTCTAGTGAGAGAAGAGGGGGAAGAAACAATAAATATAATGCAAACATATGCATGACGATGCATTACAAGACAATGAGCGATGTTAGGTGTGCCCCAACGCGGTGGAAGGTGATATCGGCGAAGGGGGAAACATCCGGGAAGGTATCCCCGGTGTTTCACGTTTTCGGACAGATGAACCGGTGGGGGAAAGTTGCGTGTTTGCTATGCTGGGGATGTGTGGCGAATGAACGGGCTTCATATCCGGATTCGTCTCGTCGTTCTAAGCAACTTTCATGTAGAAAACATTTTCATCTGAGCTACGGTTTATTTTCCTATGTTTTTCTAAAGTTTTAATCATTTTCTGAATTTATTTATCTATTTAATTCTAACATTATCCAGAATAGTGTCTGCTGATGTCATCATGATGCAATGATGAGGTCATCAGTCAACAGTGTGGTTGACTGGGTCAAATCTGACCTGCGGGTCCAATGGGACCCACCTGTCATTGAGACAGAGGTGATATAGGATTTGTTTTAAACTAATTATGATTAATTAAGAGTGGACCCCATTAGTTAGTGACAGATTAGTGTTTTAATTAACTAATTAGGTTAATTAATCAATGTTAATTCATTAATTAATTAATATGTTTTTAATATATGTTATTATTATTTTTAACCGTTCTGAGGCGGGGCCCCCTTGTCATAGGCCCTGGGGGCCTAGCAGGTGTGGGCGATGGGAGATGGATGCGAGCACGTGGGCACCCGTTATGGCGCTCGCCCAGGCCAGCCACAGGGGCTGGACTTGCTAGGCGCGGCGCGGCGCCGGCGGCCAGGCGCGGCACTTAGGAGAGCAGCGCCGGCAAGGGCACGAGCAGCACTGGGCGCGGCATCGCGCGGGAAGCAGCGAGGCGGCAGAGAGCATGCGGGGGGAGGCGCGGCGGTGTGCGGTTGCGGGTGTGCGTGCACGTGCAGTGGCACAGCCGGGCGCGAGAGCGGATGCGGAGTGCGCCCCAGGAGGGGCGTGAGCGCGAGCGGGGCGGAGCAGCGATGGTCGGGCAGCGCGTGGTGCGCGGCGAGCGCGCAGCTGGGCACGCCAGAGCGCAGCGCAAAGGGAAAAGGAGGAGAGGCCGGGGCCTCACCGCGGGGCGTAGGGTCAAGGGCAGCGGGGCTCGGGGTGGTAGACGGGGACGACGGTGTTGATGGAGACGGGGAGGCGGTCCGGTGATGTTGCCGAGGTGGAGTAGCTCCAGACGGCGTCGAGGTGGCTCCAGGGACGGCGAGCGGCGGGCGGTGTCGAGGGCGCCGGCGATGTCGGGGCGGCCCCCTCCCGATCCAGATCAGGATCGAGCAGAGGGGGCGAGGGAGAGGGGGGTCGGCGAGGAGGAGGTCGAGGACGGCCTGTCCGGCAGGGAGGCGGCGCCGGCGATAGGTGTTGAGGGCGCGCGACGGGCGTTGGGGCTCGGGGCGCAGCCCAATCCAGACGGGGGAGGGGATCGAAGGGAGTGGGGAAGTGGGGTTGAACGTGGTGTGACTGGGTTAGGGTTTCGGGGATGGGGGATATGGGAGTGGGGGTGGCCAGTTGGGCCTTTGCCCAGTTGGGCTGGCCAGCTGTGAGCTGGACCGAAGCCCAGTGAGGGGGGAAAGGGGGTTGTCCTTTCACTTTTTTTGTTAGTTTGTTTTCTGTTTTTGGTCTTTTCCTTTTCCTTTATTTTCTTTTCTGCTTTCTCTTTATTTACTTAACATTTTAGTTTTGTAAAAATAAATACGTTGTACCTAATTTAGTAAACTTAATTAAGTCACAACCTGAACATTTTTGTTTTAATGTTTGAAACTTTGGTTGTTCGTCTCTATTTTGAATTTGAATTTAAATCGGTTTTCGCACTAAAGCGAGATTAGCAACAGTAATCGAGGTGACGTGGCATCATTAGCAGAGGTTACTGTAGCTTGATTATCCGAGCATCACATTCCCCCGGTACGCGGATG